GCATTGCAGGGATTGGACTAGATGACCCTTGGGGTCCCTTCCAACTCTAGAATTCTATGATTCCCAAACTTTGCACCCCCAGTCACACTAATACACACTACCTAGCACCCGTTATTCACTCTCAGATTTACAACAAGTATGGCTTTCCAGCTAAACAAAAGTTGCAAAGACATTAGGAATAGCAGTTAACAGAAGAAGAAGAAGAAGAAGAAGAAGAAGAAGAAGAAGAAGAAGAAGATCAGCCATGCTACCTCACCTAGCATACGCACACTTCTTTCCTGTCTTTCACCCAGTAAGGCAGGTTCCATTAACAGATGCTCAGCCTAGGGCAGAAACCACTTCCTCTCTCCCACTGCAGCCAACCGGCCAGTGGACAAAATACTAATTAACCCCAGATTATAATAACCAAAGCCTGGAGGAAATGCTACAAACTTGGCACAAAAGCCCACTTCAGTCCTGTCTCTCACCATATGCACCAGGATAGTCTGATACACTAAAACAACGCAAGGACTCGTGGCACCTTAAATACTAACAAATTTAGTATGGCATAAGGTTTTGTGGCTCCTGCCAACCTAGCAGTTCGAAAGCAAATCAAAGTGCAATTAGATAAATAGGTACCACTCTGGCGGGAAGGTAAACGACGTTTACGTGTGCTGCTCTGGTTCGCCAGAAGTGGCTTAGTCATACTGGCCACATGACCCGGAAGCTGTACGCCGGCTCCCTCGGCCAGTAAAGTGAGATGAGCGCCGCAACCCCAGAGTCATCCGCGACTGGACCTAATGGTCAGGGGTCCCTTTACCTTTACCTAAGGTTTTGTGGACCATGCTTCTTCATCAGATGCACCAAAGATGCTTTTCAGATCCTTCAGAAGTTCTTCAAATCTAAAAGCTAAAACTACTTTATAATCCCTTCACTATTACAACTTTCATTCAGTACAGCAGATTTAATAGTAGCCCTACATTTGGGCTTATTTACTGTGGATCTCTACACTGCACACAAAGACTATTTTACATTTACAGTTCACAAAAGAGCCAATTATATCTTTTACCGTGGTAAAATAAGTGTGCAAAAAATATTTTTTATCAGTGCATGAACATTAGCTTTTTGAAGAAGAGGGAAAGGTATGAATCAATGTCTGTCACTCAGAAAGATATGTTCAGCTTGTCCTTCTAAGAAAATGTCAGCCACTCATGTTGCAACACTATTCCTAAGGGATGGTATCTGGGAGGGGGAGAAAGTAAAAGCCTTGGAGATCAGCCAGTTACTTAGTATGGAGAGAGAAAATCTTTCCGTAAATTTCAGCATTGCCTTTTGAAGGGGTGGTAGACAGAATGGTCTAAGAGGGGAAAGCTGCATCGTCAGTTGATCTGTGCTACTTTTTATTTATACAGCGTGCCTGCACTTTTTGCTAAATAAAAAGAGGGCGGGGGGGAAAGAAATACATTTAGTATTCCAATTGCTATTTTTACATGCCTCCTTTGCGTCTGTAATACATATGAGGAATAAGCATTGGAATTTAGGGGCAATTCTTTTCTGCCATTATGCTGTAGGTGGCGTCTAGAACACTTAACGTTTTAATCATTAATAGAAAAATGACACTAGGCAGACCATGTAAACTGCTGCTGAGTCAAATATTTTCCTGAGTGCAAAGGCTCCGCATTTCTCTGATATTAATTGCAAAGTTCCTAAATGTGTTTATTTATAATGCAGTACCCTGAACCCCAATCCCTAAATTCAGGACATGGTAACATTTAAACCTACAGAGAGATTTATGACATATGCTAATATTCCAAACCCTTGAAAGCTTAACCTTGGCTACCAAAAGGCAGTCTGAACAAAATAAATTTACTATTTTTATTATTGAAGGCTGCAATCCTATATACTCACCTGGGAATAAAACTAAAAGGGGCTTACTTCTGAAGACATGTGTAGGGTTGCACTGTGACAATATTGGGTTTTTTAAAAAAGGAAAATGCTTAAATTTAGTCTCATGTAAGTGCAGCGCAAACTTTGCACACACAACAGTGTTATGCCAGAAAGGGAATGAGTTATAACCCATTTATGGTTTTGTTTGTTTTTAAATGCTTTGGATATTGCTGTTTCTTTTATGGTTTTGTTGTGATTTTCATTGCTTATTTATCATTTTCGTACTGCCATTTTTCTATGCTGTGATCCAACTCAGCTACCAATTCAGATAAGAAGGCAGAATCCAAGTTCTAAAAATAAATAGTCAAGAGGGAATTCTGCGCTGATCTGAGAGGCTTTGCTGGGCCACAGGCAAGGAAGGAGCATCAAAGGCATTTACTAAACTAAATTACCACCTGAGGGAATCTTCATCAGTTGCTGCCTCTCAATATCCACAAAAATGGGAGCAGCCAGAGAGCCAAGTGGAGAAAAGGTCCTCAATCATCTTCCGTGGGGAAAGTATTCAGGGAGAGGGTTGACCTCTGAGGAGAAAGGAAGAGGCTGTCATGTATTACCTGGAGGTCTTACAAGGTATCAGACCAAGCTTAGGATTCATGAGACTTTCTCTGAGATTAGGGTCAGGGCACATAAATGCCAGCTTCTGTCTACCTCCAATGTTGCTGGTTGTGCCAGCTCTGGGAGCACAGTGGCCAACCCATATGAGGGAATAGGATGCAACACCCTGAACTCTAGCTACTGCTCTTTACGAGGGCTGGGGAATATTTATGTTAGCCCAGATTGGTCTGGCATGTTGCTTCACTTTCCTTTTGAAATGGTCACTGGGTTATTTGCATGCTTTATTACTTTTCAGCACAGCTTTTGCAAATGGACCAGTATGGGTGTGGGAAACACCAGCATCAATATGGAAAGGGCTGTCTCTGTTCCGGTACTGCAGGATATGACTGTTGGGTCCTGTAGGACATGCACAAGGCTGACAAGACACTGAGTGGAAAGGCTCTTTGTGGTAGTGCATCTATGATACAACCAGTAGGAGCTCCAATTACCTCAGAGGGGATACCTCAGGTGGGAATCAGGTGGTCACATCTGGGAGGCATGGGGTTAAAAGGAAAGCAGTATGGTCAGAGTCAGGGTGCAGCTGGCTGATGGGCTGGGGGACATTACATAAAAGGCCCTGATAACAAACAAACAAAAAGATTAGGCTTAGGAAGAAATGGGCGCATTCTATACTAGATTTGAGATTGTGCATGAGCTGTGAATGACAGACTCTTTCTACCAAGTGGAAACTGCCATCACACACCTACACACAGCACCCCTCAATCAAGAATGGGGAAACTGTGGCTCTCCAGGTGTGGTTTGACTCCAACTCCCATTAGCCCACTCAACATCTGGAGGGCACAGATTCACTGTCCCTGCTCTAGAATGATGCTGTCAATACAATGGTGTAACATAACTCCCTTTGGGCGCTGAGCATGTGGGAGCTGGCTGCTAGGAAGAAGCCACCTACCTCAGCCTGGGAAGCTGGAAGAGAGAAAGAAAAACACTACTACCAGCATTGCTACCTGGTAAGCCCCTGCTCCTGTGAATTATGTAGAATTTTACATTTACACACACCCCATTTGCAAGAGGGGTTCAAGACCCCCTTTGCCCACTTCCAACCCCACCATTCACATCACAGTGTGTTTTGGATTGGCTTTCATTATAAGAAACAGCTCCAGCTGCCACAGTCACTGCTTCGTATTACAGATGATCCTACAGTCTGATGGGCGCCTTTGGCGTCTTGATGCAAGGCTGGAAGCACACTGACTGAGCGGCAATGGAGCAACAACTTTCTTGGGCTTCAAATGAAGCCAGCTGTTTCCATTCCTGCAAAAGATGCTGCTTATCATATGCCTGTGAGGCTACAGAAGGAACAGGAGGGTTTTCAAGACCGCAAAGGCAATTAGAGGATGGGAAAAAGAAGACACCAGACTGATGGGCTCTGTTGAGATCTTAATTTACCAGAGGGGTTGTCCTCCTTTTCCTAGTAAACTAACAGAAAGCATTATGACCAATGACTGCAGTTTCCAAACATATGCCTCAGACCTGAGACAATGTAGTGCACACAGTGTAGAAAATGTGAACACATATCACATATATGGATAGTTTGGGGAGAACTATTATTCTATTCTCCAAAGTGAATTCTAGAGCAGGATAAAGCTGCTGTGCTTTGTGCAAGCCTTGCTGAAGTCCAGACTATCTATCTAATATGGAAGCACCTTAGAATTTACAGAGGATGGATACTTGCAGTTCATTGCTCCTCAGCATCAAGCACCCTAAAAATCTTTAAGGTGATCTTCTGATCTGGATAGCATTTTATTAATTTCCTCTGATAATGGTATAAAATGCTTATGTTAATGTATGTTAATGTATTTTAATGTAATTTTAATGCAAGTCACTTAGAGACCTTTAGGTGACAAGCGACTAACAAGTGTAATTAATACCGATGATGATGATGATGATGATGATGATTTATATATATATCCCACAGCCTTTTAGGTGCACAACATCTAATAAAATACAACATCAGTGCAGCAATCATCCAATTAAAACAGCATTACATGCCTTTAAAATTGAACACTAGCAGTTAAAATGGCAGCAATTAGTAAAAACCACAGCAATTAATCCAAAGCTGAACCAAAGATGTTTTAAGTTGCTTGTTAAAAGTTTTGAAATATGGGGTCCCTTAAATTTCCTGGGACACAGAATTCCACAACTGTGGGGTCTTGTTTCTAATCCACTTTTGGAGGAAGTACCAGAAGCTCCTGCCATATTTTAACTACAATTGTTTCTTTTCTTAAAACAAGCTGTCATTCTTTAAATGCAAGCTCAGATTGTCATGACACAAATTAAAAAGCCAATCTTAAACCCAGACACACCCCTAGTTGGGATGGTGGACCCACTGGCCTCATCCTGGCTGTGGGGCTACCACTGAAAAGGTTCTGCCCCTTCATTTTTGTCAAAAGCCGCTGTTTACAAATGTTGCTAAGAGTCTTATCGATTAAGAGTGTTTTTAATCAGATAGTAGCTTCCCTGCGGGATTGCTCAATCAGTAGAACATTAGACTCTTAATCTCAGGGTTGTGGGTTTGAGTCCCAGGTTGGACAAAAAGATTCCTGCATTCCTATGATGGCCCCCTGTCCACTATGTAGCAGCCAGAGGTCAAGGTGAAGTCATATGGAAAGTAGACACTAGAACTTCTTGCTACAGAGACTTGCAAGTGATATAAAGCAGGTCCTGCATCAACACCTGGAAGCCTCAGGCAGCTTCCAGGGGCCAAGATACATTTGCAAGAATGAGATCATGAGTTCTATATCCTGGAGAAAACATCAGGGGGTCTGAAGGGCTTTTGGAGAGTTCCAAAGATGCATTGGCATTGCCTGCCTCTATTGTCAATCCAAAACACATCACCAAATTTGCACCCCAATATTTGTATGTCATGAAGTTGCAACACTAGAGCAATCCTTTTCTGTGCTGATATTCCAAGCCAAAATAATTTATTGAATATGAGAACTATACAAATGATTGGAACAGGATTGCTGGTTTTCTTCCTCTTAGCTGTACTTCTAGTGTCATTAAACCACTAGAATTATTACAAGATCAGAAGCAAGTTTGGGGAATCAAACCTTCACTTGCAGTGCAAACTCAGGAAATAACCTGACCCTCAAATATTCAGATTAGAGACACTTACCTTGGAAATGGCTTCATGGGCTCCAAAGATTGATTGTGATGAATGTCAGGTTCTACTTAAATGCTTTTTCTGTTCTGCAAACTGCCAGACGTTTATTCTCCATGCTTCCTTGCTAGCTCTAGTCAGAAGAAAATATCTCAGCAACTGGTTTTGCAGTGTGAATGAATCCTAAAGAAATCCCTTTTATTTGTCAGTGTGAAGCGGAGCACACAAGATCAGATAAGGGATATTAAATAGCCGTCTGAGTCAGACAGAAAAGCACAACTCTAATAGAAGTCCCAGATGCTGCCATTGGTAATATACTATACTTATAGAACACTAACATCAAGACACCAGGACGGTGCCATGACCTATATTTCTCACAAACCAATTTTCTTCTTTGTAGGCTATGTGGAGAGTCCAACTGCTTTTCAGGTTCCATTTCTGTCAGCTAGAGCTTCTCCTTATCACACATGTACCTTTTGCTTTTCCTTCCCTCCAATCTCTCCTTCCCTGCATTCAAAGCATTCAGTTTGTGCCATTTGGTTTAAGCCCCATGATCTATGGAAGCCACAATGAATTGCAGTTGCCATCTACCAGGACCATCCTCGTGTCTTTCACGTCTTTGATGTTAAGAAAAATATTACCTGAGATTAGAGGCAAGAGACATTCTGTGTTTTGAGGGATTGCAACTGATCCAACACTGATGGCGAATCAGATTGTTTAATGCCACCTTGCAGCTGGAGTCAGCCTGTCCTGTGTTTCTGGCACTGTTATGATCATAGCAAAAGGTGAGAAATAACCGACTGGTCAGTCAATCACAGAATAATTCATGGTGCTATGGGTAACCCATAATGTGATCAGTTGGCAATCTTCAAGTGGCTTGCTCAGAAGAGCAAATGAGATGAAAAAGTAGGATCAGCAAGTGGGACTGACAGAAAAGACAAATGACTGAGCACTAGAGAAGGCTGGTTGTGGACTGGACAGAAATATGTTTTCCTGCGTAACATTTTTAAGCACAGTAAAGCTGTGTCCCAGGAACTTTGGTGAGTGAACTGATAAAATTAAAAATGTCATAGCTTTGAAGAACTGGTTGGAAGGGATGTTATCTATGCTATTTGAACCAGAATGGGATATCCAGACATTACTGAATTACAACCCCCATCACTCCTGACCATTGACCATGCTGGCTGGGGCTGATGGAAAACCAACTGCACCTGGGAGTGAGCACAGATATATATCACAGATTTAAACTATGACTTAAACTTGAACATACTGGATCGCTGGCAATTCCTGGCTGACATGCAGCACAACCCTAGGCACGTTTACAACTGGACTCATAGAATTGTAGAGTTAGAAGGGACCATGAGGGTCATCTAGTCCAACCCCTACAATGCAGGAATCTTTTGCCCAACATGAGGCTCAAACCCATGATCCTAAGATTAAGAGTTCCATGCTCTACTGACTGAGCTATCCCATCTTTAGTAAGTGCATTTTGGAGGCCAAGACTTCATTAGCCCCTCCCATCCCCATTGTTTTCTATCCTTTGTACTAAGGCTCATGTCTGGAGCAATAAGGCCCACTGTGGTTTTGCCCCCATGTCTTCAGAGAGCTGAATAAGAGCTAAGGCTAACAAAGGAAACCATTTTGCAGAGGGGCAAAATGCAAAGTGTGCTTGAACACCACTTTAACATAGTTTTCCACAAAGTATCCTGGAAATTGTAGTCTGCTAAGGGTGCTGGGTTTTCCCAGGAGGAAGCGGTGGGGCAAGTGGAAGTGTGGACGAGCCCAGTGTTAGAAACTGAGATATGAAAGCTAGGAGCTAAATGGCACCTTAAACCTAGGTTAAGGGTGCAACAACGGAATGTCTAACAAGAATACAAAACTGAAAATGAATGAACTGCAGCTAAAATATTATGTTCATTTTTCACATAGTCTACTCCTTCCCCTTTCCACCCCCCTAATATTCTTAAGAGGATCTCTTCTCCAGTCTTCAGAGAGTAGCCAGAAGTGGGGAGGCAGAAAAAGTTCTTCCTTTCCTTCCACTCTGCAGTTTTAATCTGAAATCTTAGGCGCAGTACTGCGTGCAGAGCTCAGAAACTGCTTGCGCTAAAGAAATTCACTGTCTCAGAATGTGCCTAGAACAATGGGAGTTTCAAACACTGGACAATCCCTTTGTAACTTCATGGAATATTTGGCATTTTGTAGAAACTTGTCAGCAAACCAGGCATGGGTGAAGTGGTGTGTATTGTATGTTATTCAGCAGCTCTGTTGCATTGAAAACAACAAAAAGTGCAGTAGGTTAGTGGTGAATTTCGAAGTACAGGCACTCATTATGACAGCCCGCTTAGCTATATCACCAAGAAGAAGAATCCATAGGTATGCCTTGAAAGAGAGTCTGTTCCATGCACACGGCAGTAGCACCTAACATAATGCCCATTTTATTAAGATCTGCCTGACTGTAATTGTATGCAGTTTTCTTAAAGTACTTACGATTGCTTAATTCTGATTGCATGGGTTCAGCTTGTAAAGCATATTGAGCAAAAGATCTTTAGGCACCTAAAATGCAATGGGGCACGCCTCTCTGTGTGTAAACCTAGGAGGGGGAATAAAATGTGGTATCATGGAAGGGGGCATCCAGCTGGTTTTGTTGCAGATTTCACTTGTAGAAACCGATGGTCAAAATATTCCTGAAGAACACTGAGTTTGGCTGCATCCAGTATGTGCATTAAAAGAGAAAACAGGGGTGTTCGGGTTCAATAATTTCTATTCAACCCTGCTTGGTGTTACATGGGTTTGAAATTTCCCTGTTGGCAGCTGATCAATTGAACCAAAGAAATTAAAATGGTAAAACATGATATTGGCATTCTCTAGTGTCCTATAACTCAGGAAATGGTTTGCCCTAACCAACTTGCTCAGGCCTTGAATGATAGCAATGCAGCTATTGCATTGTTCTGCCAGTTTAAATCTATCCCAGAGTAACCATGACTGAAAGCTGTATCACCTGTGAAATGAATTTGGCTTTCATAATTCCTAAGTGGAAGCCTGCATGATACTCACTGGAACAAACCACTTTGGTTACAGCTGAAGAGGCAAGGCATGGGAAGAATACTCCAAATACTTCAGAAAGTAATAACATAAAGGAGAGGTTAACAGGGCTGAGCCGAAATGGGTATGGGTGTTTCATAAGGATTTTCTCTCCAGGCAGCAAAAGGCAATTAACTTGTTTCATGGATACCTGCTTTCACAAAGTGCTGAACATTTTGAGCCAACACATATTTAAGAGGCTTGCAAAACACACATGCATACAAACATACATACATATAAACATACCAGACATTCAGGTGAGTTCACTTCACTGCAATCTTCTCTGTCGTCCCAGTTCCAGCAGCAATTTTTGTTTGAAAAAATGACCTGCTTCATAATGCCAGTTCTAGGTCTTACTGACAAATTTTGTCAGTAAGCAATGTGAAATTTTTGAACTTATAAGACAAAATATATAACTTGTCCCCAAGATCAGACCATAGTGGAAGACTGGAAAATGTTCAATCTAACACCAATTATTCAAAAGGGATCCATTTGGATCCTGGAAACTACAGGCCAGTTTTGTTCTGGGAAAACGCATGAAATGCATTGTTAAAGATAGAATTATCCAGCATATAGAAGAACAACCCTTGCTGAAGCAGAACCAGCATGGCTTCTGCAAGAGCAAGTCCTGTCTTTTAGGGTTCTTTGAGAATGTAGGCAAGTACATAGATAGAAGTGATTTGGTTGGAATTGTGTACAATGTATACTGTTATTATTATTATGCACTCATCACTTATTACAAAAATGTTTCGAAGTTACTTACAACATATTTAAAATACCAACCAATTCACCAACCATTTAAAAACCAGATACATAGAATAAGCATATAGTTTAAAAATAAAAATAATAAATCTAAACGTCTGTTTAGGTCTACATCTGATAAATGTTTACTTAGCTTTTGATAAAATATTTCACCAAAGGCTCCTAAGTAAGATTAAAAGTCATGAACTAAGAGGGTAGATCCTCTTATGGATCAGTAACTAGTTAAGGAAGCAGAGAGTTCATGCTTTGCAGTAGAAGGAAATAGAAAGTAGAGTCCCCCTAGGACTGGTACTAGGAATTGTGCTTTTTCATTTGTTCATAAAAGTTCGAGACTTAGGGTTGAGGCAGTGAGGTAGCCAAGTTTGCTCGTGATACCAAATTGTTCATGGTGTTTAAAACAAAAATAGATTCTGAAGAGCTCCAATGGTCAGGAAAATGGCAAATGCCATTCAGTGTGATGCACACTACAACAACGACAACAAAAGCTAATTCCACATACACATTCATGGGTCTGAACAGGCAGCAACTAGCCAGAAATAGGGCTTTGGGATTGTAGTGGATAGCTGAATCAGAATGTTGACCCTGTGT